TCTACTAACTATGGCACATCATCCTGGAGGCAAAGTCGACTTTCTTCTTCTTCTGCTTTTTTATGGTGGTTGTTAAACAGTTTTCTGATGCATTACCGCCACATTCTGGATTGGAGTATAAAATCTGAAATTATAATATTACCTCCGCCGAGGATGTAGGTTTTTAGGACGGTTTGTGTCTGTTTGTGTTCACAACCTAAATTGTTATCGACGGATTTTAATGATTTTTTTTTTTTTTTTAGAGGTTTCAGACAGACCATATAAAATTTTTTATCCAGGATTTTTTTTTTAAGATTCTCTAACACTGTGAGTGGGGATATTTGGCGGAACAAGCAGTTCTCCATTAAACCGGAGGGTGGCAGCAGTGAGTATTATTACACTTTATTAAAAACCTATTTTTCAAGGGAGTCCTGGCCAAGAGTAGCCTGATAAACCAGACTTAATGGGAGATGAAATGTGTAATTTAGTCTCGCTCCGATGAATGAGACATCGGAAGATTGTTGGTGAGAACCCGTTGTTTTTCAAACCACTGTCTGTGCCTATTGGCCAACGCTCTGACCAATGAGCGCGACTGACTGTGACGTAGTAAGCGCGACAGAAAGCTGGTGGGGAAATGTAAACAAACAGCCTGTTGGTAAAACGGCAAATATGTGCTCCTTAAAAATGAATGAGCGTAGAGCCTCTTCCTGCTCATGTTTCAACGAAAACCCCAAGTCTAATCCTTCCAAAACTGATTCCAAAGCTGAGTCAAAAATCGCCATCAGACCCAGCGGTCCTTCACACACTGCTATGCCGACAGAGGGCTGCTGCAGAGGGGCTGCGGTTTCCTCTGGCTGCCGTTAGCCTCGGAGCTCTGCTGGTTGCCGCGGTGCTCTCAACTTCGGAAACTTTTTTTAAATTACGCATTAAATCGGTAAATGGACTACATAATGACACTTTAAAGTATAATATTCTCGCTTCAAATTATCTTAAAACGTACTTTTATTGAACAACAGCAACAGAAAATAGAACTTTTATCTTTCAATGGACGCTCTATTGAAAGCTGCTGCTGCCGCAGTCCTGCGTTCACACCAAACGCAGCAGGAGCAGCAAAAACTGCTTCATTTTTGATGCTTGTACAAGTTTAGTTGCCCCAGCAGGAGGGGTTATGGGTTAACACATAGAAAACATGAAATACTGGGTAAGACAAAAATGCTGATTACAGACCGTTTTCAGAATAGTTGCACCTCTTCAGCCGAGGACCTCACCTTCATCTCTGCCCTCTACGCCACATGGTGTCACCAAGCGGAGGCGCTTGAATGACGCGGACATTGTGAAGCAGTTGGAGCCGTTGGATCAGCGTCTGGAGGAGATATTAGAGAGGAAGCGTTCGGCCCAAGATGACTTCATTGCATTTGGGATGCTGGTAGCCAACATGGTGGACCGAATACAGCGAGGAGAAAGGTCCCACGCCTTTGTACGGGTAATCAACCTGCTACAGGGGATCCTGGACCAACAGGCAGTAAGACCTGTGCCCAAACCTGAAGATGCAGACTGAAATTGAATGCTATTATACATATACAATATATTATAAACTATAATATATATATATTCTAATAATATACAACACGTTAACATGTCATATACATTTCATACGTAACTTATATATTCATGTTACATGTTATATTGTTTTATTATTATATATCTATATGCTCGACATTATCTATATGCTCTAAAGTATCTATATGCTCTGCACTGACATCTAATTGTTTACTTTTTCTACTTAGTTGCACAGTTGCTTTTGTTATTTGTTTAAAAAATGTAAGGGATAGAAAGTACAGATACCTGTGTGAAAATGTAATG